TCGTTTGAGAACAAGCACAAACTGTCACCAGCTGTAGCTGATGCTTAAGTTACATGCCCAGAAAGGAACGGAGCAAGAAAGCAATATCCAAAGCTTACTTTCCCATTGAACAGCATGCAAAAAACAACAAGGACTTGAGAGAAATGTATTCAAAATTTCAAGAAATTCAAAGAAGGTTAAACTATGTAAAAAAGAAGGTGATTGTTATCTTTTTCCTTTGATTGTGAATTTTGATTACATATCACGTGAACTACATTATTAGGAAGATTTCAAACTTTGATCTTTGCCATCTAAACCATTTAAACCCTGCTGGCCACCAAGACATGTCTCATGTTTGCTGATGTTAGTATATATGGTATTTTTGATTGTTCTTGCCCAAACTTACTAATAAATCATTAAGTTAAAACAATGGAGATCAGAACCATGATGGTGTTTTGGATATGTCATCTTAAAATAACATAGGACTTTTAGTTTTGATTGAGAAGTTACATTTACATGTATAGGAAAGACTCCCTTACAGTAAGCTCGTGCATAAAGCTGCCTTGTAAAAGGATCAACATAAAACTACTGCTTCCAAAAGTTTTGTCTTAACTACATAAAGATTAATTTCGTGCCTTTTTGTAAATACATGTGTATAGGTAAAGAGGGCAGAAGACCATATTGTAGTCACTGAGGAAAGGTTAGATAGTTTACTAAGAAAAAGGAAGCTAGAAGATAGTGAGCAGAGTTCAAAGGAACAAACTGCAAAAAAGAGGAAGAAGCTTAAAAGACAAAGGAGCAGTTCGAGGCTTCAGAAAGAAAACTCTGAACAGTTTGAAGTGCCCCAAGCAAAAAGGTCTGCTAGTAGAAGAAAGCAAGAGACTCTAGTAGCATGCGGTGAACTGCATGGTGCAACTGATACTGATCAAAGTCCTGCCTCTGATGGCATGTGGGCGACATTGATAAATGCCAGTTCACCAGTTACCGTATTTACTCATGTATAAGCTGCACTTTTTTCCCGAAATTTTGGGCTCAAAATCGCAGGTGCGGCTTATACACGAGACCATTGCTTTCAGAGGGAGTACACTGGCTAGTATGGGGTCACAAATAGCGCTAAAAATCTTCAGTAAATAAAGACACACCATTTTGAAACCTGTTGTTGATCATTGCTTTCGGTAAAAGTGGTGGCTCCTAAAAGAGCCGTTTGTATCTTCAGGTTTAAACCCGAATCTTGCTCGCCAGCAGTTGCTTCAAGCGTTTCATCTGCACTTTGTTTGAGCAGCTAAACTCCAACTGGCATGGAATCTCCATTCCTCTGCATAGCTGCTTACAATGTCGTCTTCGACTGATCACTTCAACACTGATCTCTCCATGATGTGTGAGAAAATACCACGCTATTCGGGAGAACTCGTGAGGCAAATGGCCGACCATTTCGTTGCCTTTCATGACTTGCACGGCGTGTTTGTCCATGGGGTTATCCAACTCTTGTTTAGCAACAAGTTTTTCACCGATCAATGGCTTCCATAAATCTTTATAAATGTGATATCCACGCACAGCAGATGAGAAACCAAACGACTCCATGTTTTTTGCGATCAACCTACGTGACTCGGCCCAGGCCCAGGCTTTTGTATCGGTTTGTCAGCCAATCAACGAAAAGTGCATCTGTGTTATGTTGCTAAGTTACCAACCAAGCCGTATTCCTCGAACCATAAAATGCTTGTGTTTCTTGCATAAATTTTGACTTTTACGTTTTTATTTTTTTCTCAAAATCATGCTTGAAATTTGGGGGTGCGGCTTACACACGAGTGCGGCTTATACACGAGTAAATACGGTAGGTTAGCTAGCTATATTTCACATTCTGCTAAGGCCAAAAAGGTGTTACCTGTTGTAGTTATGAAGGAGATAATTTAGTTTGAAGAAAGCAAAGATAACCTAAAGAGAAGTAGTAAGGTATTATATAGTGGGGGATTACTTAGTAAGGAGAAATATAAATCCATCAGAACAAACTTGACTATGACAAATAGCAGTACAGCAAAAGGAAAATGCAGTATCAATGGCTTTCAAAAATGGTGGCACAGTGCAACCGGAGTTTGAAAACTGGTAACGAGTGCATCGAAACGAGGCATCAAAGGCCTGATCAAAACAAATATCTTTCACGTGTAGCGCAATCAACTTGTCAAAGGTTGGAAGTTTCATTAGTACATCCTTCATAACGCTTTGAATTTGAAAAAATCCATGCTGAAAAACTGAATCACAATGTGAACAACTCAAGATTTCGATTGATTGCAAAATAGTGATTGTTTCAGGGCAAATTTTTTCGTCGAAACAATGCCTACGCACTGCTGTGTTCCCGGCTGCACCAAGAAAAGCTATCTTGAAGAGGGTGATGAAGATGATGAACTTTATTCATATGTCAATTATAAAATAGCAGTAATAAAACCACTAAGTAAGGACACAACAAGATAATTTAGATAAAA